TCCCTGCCAGCCCCACACTTGAGCAATCTGCTTTCACAGCTATGCCAGACCCAGCACTGCAACCCCAATCAGGGTGAGTATGACAGGATGTTGCCCATGATCCGCTTGGAGAAGGGAGCTAACCTTGATGTTTATTTACTCTGAGCTCAATGAAAGTAGTTTCAGCCTCTGAATGCTTCAACCTAACAAGTAACAAGGTTTCCAGGCATTCACAATCTATTATTTGGAAGTCAGGGTGCTCACGAGACAGTCTGATCCTATCATACGGGTAAGGAGAAGTAGTCGGAACAAGGCAGGAGTTTCTAATCCCCGGCAATATGGTTTTTATCAGGAGATTGTGCTTGCTTTAATAGGTGCCATTGCTTTATCAGTTAAAGAGAAGAATAAAGCGATCACATCCATATCCACCTACACACACCCATTAATACAAACCACCAGCAGAGCTTCCTGAGCAAACCGAACTCACAGGATTTACACACTAAGTGAACCATGGTGACGTGCTTGCTCCTCTCCCAGACCCGCAGATCTGTCTGAGAGGCAGGTCAGAGGCTGCCGCGTACATGGTTTGCTTTCTACGAGGCAGTTCACGCTTTACAACAGGAATTTGAAACAATAATGAAGACCTTTCTGTGCAGCAGCAAAGGTGAAATAAAGGGAACCGTGGAATCTCTAGAGAAATCTGGGCAACACAGAAAAGGCAGTGTGGGCAATTCCCTGTAAAGCATTCTCTCCTCTGCTGGTTGTCTCTATTCTTCATTTTATCTTATCTCCCTACTTCATTCTTTGTTGATGTGTGTGGTGCTTGCCAGTTAATGTCAACTATATGTACAGCTACTATATTTAAGTGCCTCTGGTAGACCCAGGACTGTGCTAAGTGCATTAGAAACACACTCTCACAATGCACTATGCGGCAGATACTTTCTTCATGCCCATTTTAGAGATTAGAAAGTTGTGGCAGGTGGCAATGAGTAACTTGCCTGAGGCCACACAGTCAGGATCCCACCCTGTGTCTGAGTCAGAGCAGGAGCTCCGGTCACAACCTCACCACTTTATTTCTGCTGCAAGATGATCCCACCTTCCATTTTCTTCTTGCTGTGACTCCTCTCCCTTAAGTCAGCCTCCTCCTCTTTGACTACTAGAAGTGTGGTGTCCTCATCAGGGAATGGGTGCTGTCAGATGTCTGGAACTGAGTGCAGGGAACCACATTTTCAATAGAGGGAGGTTAATAGAAATATGTTAAGAGGAGGAAAAACAGGGAAAGGTGGAGGGATGGGTGAAATAATTTGAGAACAGCCTGCCTTCAGAAGGAAACACTAAGGCACCCTGGGAAAGAAAAGGAAGGTTGGCTCGGTGTCTGTGAAACAGTGGTTACAGCACCAGCCACATACACTGAGGCTGGCGGGTTCAAACCAGGTCTAGGCCTGCTGGACAACAATGACAACTGCAACAAAAAATAACCTGGCATTGTGGTGAGTGCCTGTAGTTCCAGCTACTTGGGAGGCTAAGACCAGAAAATCACTAAGCCCAAGACTTGGAAGTTGCTGTGAGCTGTGACACCACAGCACTCCATGGAGGATCACATAGTGAGACTTTATCTCTTAAAAAAAAGAAAAACAAAGGAAGAGTCTCAGGATTACAAAAGCCATAGGTTGTAAGACACAGAAAATACCTTAGAGGTATCTGATCCCATTTTATAGATGAGAAAACTGAGATCGAGCGATTAATGCAGTCAGGACCTAGTCCAAGGTCTCTGACCACCTCTGCTTTACTTCCTTGCTGGATCCCACTTCTTCACCAGCCCTACCACTCACCTCAGGTGTGGCTTGAGAGACTGTGGCAAGGGCAAGCGGTTACAGAGGACAGAGTGACAAATGTGGCTGCATCTGAAGAGCCTTGAGGAGGGAAAAAACATTCCAGGCTCCCTCACAGTGTAATGAGGCTCCCTCTGAGGACACTGCCATAACATCTGGCCGACACCTGTCAGCCGTGCTATAAAGGGGTTTCTGCAATAAGTGATTCAGCCACAAGGATCTTTAATAAACCCCATCCTGGGGGCCAGGGTCTGGATAGCTTCAACAGAATTACTGGGGGAGGCTCCAAAAATATGAGAATTTTTCCAATCTAATCTCAGAGATTATGTTTCAGTAGGTTCTGCGAAACCATGGAATCAGGTGATTTCTGAGGAAGCTCCACTATGAAGTTACTTTCTCTAGCATGGATTCCAAAGTCTCACTTAGCCTTTATTATTAAGCCAAAGCATGCATCATGTACTCCACGCCAGAGTTAGCCACAGGCCTGAAACACGGCCTTTGCCATGGACTGCGTGTGTCAGCAGGTAAGTAACAGACCTTCCGCAGTCTCAAAGTTTACTTATTTAGAAAGGAAGAAACATAATGTGCACATATGGAAGTAAAACTCAACGGTAGTCAAGCAGGTGAGAGAGGAGAGAAGAAAAGGGATACAATCCCTTCCTTTGTACCCACACGTAATGGGCACAAAGCACACTATCTGGGTGAGAGGCAATAGCCCTGGACTGTGTAAGTCTGATCTATATCTGTAGGCACAAAATAGCAAGCTCGTATACATTTAAACTTCTGTGAGCAGGATTTCAATTACTTGCAGCCAAATGCAATCTTCTCTGGTATAGCATGAAAACCCTCTTTTCAAATAAAATCTCTTTTAAAACCTTGATATGTGAAACAAATAAAAGTGCCTGGGCTGCATTAAAAAATCACATATCAGTGTTGCAAAAGGCATTTCTTCACAGATTTCTGCAGGGGTTCTTCTACACAACCAGAACTGGCTAGAAACAGCACATCTTAGCTGGGACAGATGCCAGGCCACCAGGGACCCTCAGATCTTTCCAGGGAGCTGAGAATTCTCTACCAACTTAGTTCTCATGTTTTTATGTTCTTTTTATTTGCTTATTTATACAAATTCTGGTCTAAAAAATATAGATCTTCCTGGCTTCTGTGGCTCACACCTACAATCCTAGCATCCTGGGAGGCTGAGGCAGGAGGATTGCTTGAGGTCAAAAATCTGGGACCAGCCTGAACAACACAGTGAGACACTATTTCTACAAAAAAATAGAAAAAGTAGCTGCGTGCGGTGGCATGTGTCATAGTCTCAGCTACTTGGGCAGCTGAGGAAGGAGAATTGCTTGAGTTTGAGGTCTCTGTGAGCTATGATGACGCCAATGCACTCTGGTAGTTAAGGTGACAAAGCAAGACTCTGTGTGTGTGTATATATGTATTTTAGAACAGAATTTGCATAAGTAAGCAAATAAAAAGAAAAAATGTACATGTGTGCATATATACATAAATATACATATATATAGAGAGAGAGAGGCAGAGAGAGAGATCGAATTCACGACTACTGGCTACTACCACACAATTAATTGTATGATCACTGGCAACAGTGGTTCTAGTCTAACTGTCATGAGTAATGATAAAGAAGCAGAATGTGCATAACACAAACTGACACATTCCTTTTAGGTGTAGGTCAAAGGCCATCATGGAATGGAAGGGAAGACAGACTCGAAAAGAAAAAGCTACGGAAGAAGCAAAGCCAGTGTCTGTCCGGGGCATATGAGTATGTGTGTAACAAACCAAAAGAACCCCCAGATAACCATTAGTCCCTTGCTCATGTTGTAAGCCTCATTGGATTCCAGGAAAACATCTATGTAAGAAACCATTGTTGAAAATCCACGACCTAGTTTTATTCAGTTCATACATTTGTTTTAGGGTTATAGTTTTTCACGAATGATGAAGAGGGTCGTCTTAGCCTGTATATGCATACTTAAATAGTAGGATGACCAAATAATAGAAATGGTGAGAACACAGACCTTCCTTTCTGCCTTGTTATTTGTCTATACAGGCCTCATAGTCAAGAAATAATGAACAAGAAGGCCCATGTCCCTTTCAGCTGGTCAAAACTATGATTTCAGGTACTTCCTATTCTTATAAAGTCATATAAAACCAATATCAAACATTTATACCTGTGTGATGGTTATTTTTCCGTGTCAGGTTGACTGGGTTATGCAATGCCCAGATAGCAGGTAAAATATTACTTCTGAGTGTGTATGTGATAGTGTTTTCAGAACACATTAGCATTCCAATCTGTAGCCTAAGTGAGGACTATCTGTCCTCAGCACTGCGGGCAGGCAGCACCCCATCTGTCAAGGACCCAAAGAGAATAAAAAGGCAGAAGAAAGGTAATTCTATCTCTTTCAGCGGAGACATCCACTTTCTCCTACCCTCAGACACTGGAGCTCTTGGTTCTTGGGTCTTGGACTCCAAGACTTATAACAGTGTCCCCTCCCCCGATCTCATTCTCAGGTCTTTGGTGTCAGAAGAGGAGTTACACCATCAACTTGCCTGGCTTCTAGGCTTTCAGACTCTGAATGAATCACACCTCTGGCTTTCCCAGGTCTACAGCTTATAGATAGCAGATCGTAAGATTTCTCTATCTCCATAATCATATAGCCAATTCCCCAAATAAATCTCCATATAAACAAATAAAGGTGTGTGTGCATGCATATTTTAGAACAGAAGTTTCATAAATAAGCAAATAAAATGAAAAAAATATATATGTATGTGTACGTATTGTGTGTGTGTGTATACATATGTATGTATATGCGTGTGTGTATGTGTGTCTATTGGTTTGGTTTCTCTGGTGAATCCAAATACGGGCTGAGTATCTCTGAATCTCTTGTCCAAAATGCTTGAGAACAGAAGTGTTCAAGATTCAACTGTTTTTTTTTTTTTTCAGATTTTAGCGCATTTGCAGTGCACTTACTTGTTAAGCACCCCAAATCAGAAAATCCCAGTGCTCCAAGGAGCTTTTTATTTAAAATAAAAAAAATAAGCAGAATTAAAGACATCTCTTCATCAGGATAAAACATATACAACACTTTGCATTCCCTTTCAATAATCTATCTTAACAATAAAGTAATCACAGGCAGGGGCTTGGACAAGCTTTGCTCACGGGGGTCATTCAGCCATCTCCACCTGGTCCCTTCACTCAACACTCATAACAGGACAGGAATATTTCTGTAAGGAACAAATAGCATGTAAAAATAAGGCCTTAAGAGCCTGCCCCCCTCCTTAGGAAATCTGAACTCTCTGGTAATGCCATTTTTACACAATGTGCACCCTGATTACTTCCAGAAGGCAGGGCAGGCTGACCATTCTAAGGAGGGTAAAACAAGTCTCTCCACTGAGGCTGCGGTTTATCTACACACTTCCAAGCCAGTAAATCGGTGCCTGGTGGTTTGTGCTGTTTGAATATCTGTGTTTCATTCGTGGGCAAAGGACTCCTCCCTCAATGACCAGCGTGCGGTGTGGCCGCCCCTCTGTCCTCTCTGCCTCTACCTCTGGCCTAGATTTCTTTTTCTATATTCTCTCCTCTCCCTGCTCTCTTTTTTCCCTTTTTAAATGTCAACAGAGTTTGGCTCATCCCCTTTACTTTAAAAAAAAAAAAAGAGAGAAACTACAGAGTTTCTTCCAAGTTTCAGGCATTGCTCTTCATAATCCTGCAACCTGGAGTTGCTATTTCACGCCTCTTCTGCTCAATGCTTGACACGCACTAAATTTAGAGGAGTATGACATCCGAGCTCACTGAAGTCTCTTTTTTCATTGGCAGGAGGCTTGGCTATGGTTCGTGTCAGTTCCTAATCTGTCTTGGCATTTTACTCGCTCAGTAGGCACTTTAGAAAAACAAAAAATAAAATCAAGTCACCACGTTGACTTCTAACTATACCACCATTTCCCAGCCCCAAATCCTGCACTCCCCAAACCCTCCCCACACCACTCCATACAAAGATGAGGTAATAAAGAAAACATTCATAAGCCATCTCATAGAACAAGAGATTATGCTTCTAGTCATACCCCAAGCTCCTTTTCCAAGTATAAAAAGAAATTTTTGCTGAATGAAAATTCTGACTTTTTATAATGAGGATGTCACTTCTGCCAATTCATTCTAGATTCTGCACAGAGGAAAGAAGAAACCCCAGGCCTTTGCTCTTAGTTCACCGTTAAAGTTACTGTCTTTGCTACCTGTTTAGAGATTTTAGGACTGAAGGAAAACACACGCCTGTTTTCATAGAGATCCACCTTTGAGAGGTCTAGCTACTCCTTAGCTGTTAAAGAAGTACCTGAGGATCCATTCATTCGTGTTATCTGCCAATTAGACACTTGGCCAAGCCCCCTTTAGAAAACATCACGTTGTCACAGATGGCTCTGCTAGTGTAACTCAGTGGTGAGGTTCAGCCTACCTCTATCTGAGCTGAACTAGTCCCTTAAATACAATTACAATATACTACACGTTTTCTCAATGCCATCTATAGAATAAAATAGAGCTTTTCTGTGAGAGTCGATATGAAGAAGCAAGAACTGACGAGGAAAACTGAGATTGCTCTTGCGCTGAAAATTATTTAAAAGTTGACTTTCTAAAAAGAAGCCCTTTTCTCAGTGAGGTATAAAACAAAATCAATCAACAAAACAGGGTTACATCTTTTTTAACAACGATTTTGAATACACTGCTGTTTTCTGTCACTCTTTTATTATCTAGGTTTCATAAAATACCCAAGTACTTTTTGAGAGTAAAACTGCGAATTACTTCAAGTGAGAAAAATGGGAAATGATTATAGAGACAGAATTACAAATATCGGTCCAGCATATTTCTAGACCCATTTGTCATGAACAGTCAAATCCCAGATAATGACAGTCCAAAGTCCCCCAGAAAAGTAAGAGATGCCGGGAACTCATCGGCACGGATCCGCTGCTACCCTCGGAGCGTGCCATCCAAAATAGAAACTTCAAACTCGGATTCCCTCCTGGAATGAGAGCCATTTTCTGCTGAAAAACCTCCCCTCTCAAAACTCTGGTGAAGCAAAAACATAGTTTCATCTAAAATTAGCCTTCCTGCCAATGAACTGTCCCTCCACGTAGAAAAGAAAAGTTGCAGATGGTTGGAGCTGGGTGACAACACGCGGAACGCACAGCCTTCTCCTTACACAATAGCGCTGCCAGCTAAATCCTAACTTTCAAGAGCGTCTCTGCCTTGCTGAAAATCAGACCTTGCGGGAAGGCGGGAGAAGGCAAAGATTACAAGTCCACACCAAATGTCTATGGGATCGGGGTTCTAACTTGTTAGTTCACACACACACACACACACACACACTCAGAGTGCCTGCAAGCAAACAGCAGACAGCTTAGAAAGTGAAGAGGCACAGAAATGCGAGAACTGAACAGTCCCCTACCTCTCTCCTCTGCTGCATAAATCGGCGGGAGAAAATCGCCCCTGATCCCCGGGGGTGCTGACACTCCCTGAAGTAGGCGGCCACTGGCCGGCTGAGCGTGAGCAGGCCCAGCCTGTGTTCAGAAGCTGCCCCAGTCAGATTTTCCAACTGCAGAACTGCAGCCAAGTCCCTGCCCATGCCTGAAGAATTTCCTGAACAGCATTCCCGTTCTTTTTCTGACTGCTTTGAAACCGTACTCTGTCTCTACTTCAATACAGCTTTGTCAGGCCGACTCACAGCTACTGGGCTGTCTCCAGCTATCAATGGGAAACACATGTGTCAAGCACAGGCTCGGTCCCCTGCAACAGCGCTCATGGCGTCTGCTGGGCTCATACTCGCAAGCAGAAGGGAAACTGCTTCTAGAACCAATTCTGATTTCTCAGCCATTCGCCACACAGGCTCTGCTCTGTGGTGCTAGATGCGAGAGATAACGCCTCTCTTTCTTCTGCTCAATACTGCTCCTTTTTAACTAGCTCCTTACACTCGAGTCCCCAGCTGACCCTGTCAGCCCCCCTGAGCTCTTGCCAGCCCTGAGAACAAGCTTATTACAGCTGAGAGATGTGAATTCTAATTCCATCTCCCTACCTGCTGCTTCCTAAGTCTTTGCTCAAAATTTCAGTTGCTAGAGGGGGAACAATATTTTTAGCATTTCCAGACGGGTTCAGTTCTTCAGAGTTGTCCCTTCAACCTGATGTGTGCATCTCTCCCTACAGTGACTAAAAATAATGCAATTATTTTTCAGGCACTTGTGTTGCTCTCTGCTCTGTACCTGTGCTGGGTCCCCAAATGTAACGTTTTATAGGCTGTTGCATGGTGTTTTGGTTATGGGAAGGGAAAGGAAAAGGGACTGTACCTTGATTCCAAATGTGTGCTAATTCTGTGCACCTGGGATTATTTCTAGGTGACACTGCCTCGAGATGTCCTGTGTACATTGGACATGCTGCCAGCAAATGGAGTCTACCTTTGACATTTCCTCTTTTCATAAAACAAGAGGAAATCTCAAAACACAAGAGAAGGACGCCCCTCTTCTCCCACCCTGAAAAAAAATTCTCTCAAAAGCCAAAGCGAAGTTGTCAAGGTAACATTGTAGAAAAGGGACAATTTCAAGAGAGAGCAGTATTAGTTTAGAGCTATCTTTTTCCCTTTTATTTTTCTTTAAGCACTAAAATTTTACTTCCAAAAATCACACCCCATTAGCAATTTATTCTAAAGAACTGGCTTGCCAAATTTAAAGCGTCCTGTGCTCCTGAGAAGCTGTTGTAAATAGTAATTCAGTGGGGCCTTGTGTATAGCATCAAATTATAAAGGGCATTTTCAGAAGGATTAGATTAGATCTGGGCCTTTGTAAGCATAGTGTGTGTGTGTGTGTGTGTGTGTGTGTGTGTGGTGGGTTGCATGTGCACATCTAAGGTCAGGATACAATTACAGAATCAGAAAACGTTAGAGCTAGGAAAAATCCCAGAGACTATTCAATCCAAATTGTGTCTACCCTTCATTTTATAGAGGGAAGTGGATGCCCAGATGGATAAAATGACTTGTCCAGGGTCACAAAGACGGTTAATGCCATAGCTTAGGCCAGATCATGGAACTGGGGCTTCTTCTACTCCAGCATGATTTGAGAAGGTGTTATCATCTAGTCTTTCTGCGAAGGCTTATAATCAGGTGGTGTGGGTCTAGTCTTCACTCTGCATCTTACTGGCCAGAAATTCTCATCAGCTGGCTTAATGTCTCTGACCTTGGTTTCTTCTGTGACATAGGAATAACAGAATCTACCGATAGAATTATTAAGGATTCAGTGAGATGGTCTATGCAAAGTATTTATGACAGCGTAAATACATTCCAGTTTAGTTTTATGTCTTTGTTTTTAACAGAGCAAAAACCAGACCTTTTCTCTAACTAAACAGGAAAACTGTGCTCTTACATCTAGTATGAGTTCTAGAATAAACTATTCGATTGGCTAGTTAAATTTTCTGCTACCTTAACTTGATGTAGCAGGGATTACACCTCGAACTCAGAAAACTGTCCTAAAGCCTTATTGGAACATTAAGCTGGCCACATAGCTACTTTTCATTTATTCCCTAAACACAACCCCAGAGTCTTTCCTGAAGATTAACTCACAAGAAAGGAAAACAGTGGGATGAAATTTGCAGTCAGTTACATGAGGCTGAACAAAGTGCCATTCGTAGAGAACTGGACCTTCTCTTTACACCTTAAGAGCTCAAAATTACTCTTCTAAAAATAGAAAGCCCTTAACAACCATTCCATGATTGGAAACTGCAATGTCCAAAATTAACAACAGCAGCCAAATAAAATCCCATAAGTTGAGTAAGAAATATTTTGGAGAATAAGCTGATATAAATTCTAAAGAATCAGATTTCTGTCTGGGGTTCCATAGCCTCTGCATCAGGGTTAATCAAAGCAAATAGTTAATGAACCACTCACTGCTTGCTATTAAATGAAGATTCTAGATTTAGGAAAGTTACAGGTTAACATGAAGACTTTTGTCTGATAAAGATACAAATAATTTCTCTTCAGTAGAAAAAATGACCTCAAAAGTAATGGCTTATTGCCCTATAGGGAATACCAGTTTTGTGTAAATCTAGCAATCTCTGCTAATTTTTATTTATTTATGTATCCATAAACATTGAGGTCCTCACATGTTCTTAGAACCAATCTTTCCATCATATTAATACCCTTGTTAAATACTGAGTCAAATAAAATCTTGGACATATTTCATTTATGTTTGTGTACATGTTTTAAACTTTAAAAAAAATATAGTTTGACACCATTGTGTTCTCTTCATCTGTATAATGAGTGTCTCTACAAAACAAGACAAAACAAAACAAAATAATTAGCTAGACCTGGTGATGTGTACTTGTAGTTCTAGCTACATTCAAGGTGGAGACAGGAGGAGCTCTTGAGCCCAGGAACTGTAGGTTACAATAAGCTATGATGACACCACTGTACTGTAGCCCAGGTAACAGAAAGAAACTTTGTCTCAAAAAAAAAAAAATTGAAATTGATAATAATGTGAAGCAGAAAACATCATTCTTCACTGGAATATAAGCTCCCTGAAGGCAAGGATTTTTGTCTGTCATTTTCTGCCATTTTTTTCAAAGTCTAGGCGTGGTGTGAAGTAGGTCTTTGTACTTACCCTTTGAATAAATAACAACTTTCAGCTTTTGACTTACTTGAAAATAAGGATTCCTATATCAACCTTTTAAAGGCATTATTGTGACTATGGTTTAAACCTGCCTGGTGCTATTGAGTTACTTCTCCCCATTATGCTGTAGGTTCCTTTTATCACCTTGGTTGCTTTCTTCTGTAACTATTTCAGTTTGGTTACTTTCCTCCTTAAGTTTGGTACTGAGAAGATAACAAATATTTCAGGTGTGCAAGTCTAATGCAGAGGGATGAGGAGCAACTCTCTCTCCCTTCCATTAATGCAATCCAGGAGCACGTTAGGTCTGGAGAGAGTAACCGTAGTCACGCGTGCTCAGTCAAGTCAGCTTGGACCACTCCACGGCAGGTGCTGTTACGCAGCTCCATCTCTCACATCATTTATACCTGTTTTTCCCAGCCTAGCTTCATGTGGGCATCACTTGAGGAAGCTTTTTAAAATGACTAGAGCCATTTGATTCTACTGGAACAGGATGGCAACCAGGCAACAATATTTCTTATAAAGCCCCTTGTATAATTTTAATTTGAGCCAGAATTAATAAATTATGGAATTAAAAAAAACCCATAAACCTAATTGTGCTACTCTGTGAACTAAAATATTTAAATGACTTAGTACTCCCCAAGAGGTAAGACTCCCTGTGACTTCAGTGGCCCACCTTGAACTGGCCCAGTGCCCACCTCTTCATCCTCACCCAGCCTGCCCTCAACCTTTCTTCCAGTTCTCAGGTATCTTTCCATGGCAGGAGCTTAAAAAAAGCTGTTCTCTCCTTCTGGAAAGATTTCACTTTTCCCTGAAAGTTACTCTCACTCTCATGTTTTCATCTATTTTAATGCCTATTCATCCTCCACATCTATCCTCCATGTCACTTCCTTCATGACTCTTTTCCCCCAGAGTCTCACACCCAACAGTCTCTCATTATGTGTATATGCCTGTAGACTAGCACTTACCATAGACACCATACAGCAGAACCTCCACAGTTGACCATCTCCCTACATTGACCGCCTCATTAAGTTGACCTAATTTTCACAGACCAGACATGCACCACATGTAAGTATCAGTACACTAGGCCTAGTTTCTTATATTGACCACCTCTGTATGTTAACTAATTTGTTACAATCCCTCAGGTGGTCAATTTACACAGATTTTGCTGTATTTACTTCTATCTTTATTTGATTCATGTTAATATTCTTGATAAACAAGGGATATTGTCCATAAGAGCACAGCCCAGGACTGCTTTCCCTGGATTTGATTTTATTTCTTGCACCACACTGAGCTCATAGGGTGCATAATAGATATTTTTATGTTAAGTGAATACAATTTTTTTTAAGACCCAAGTTTAGGAACATGAATAGAACCCCAGCTTTCAACATCTTGACTTTTTATATTTCATTTGTTGTGACAAGATAGCATACTGTAGCAGTCTCCAACCTTTTTGGCACCAGGGCTGGTTTCATGGAAGATTTTTCCATGGTTGGGGTGGGGGTGTGATTCTGGGATGATTCAAATGCATTACATCTTCATCTCAGATCATCAGGCATTAGATTCTCATAAGGAGCATGCAACCTGGATCCCTCCAAGTTTATAGAAGGGTTTGTGCTCCTATGAGAGTCTAGTGCCGCCTCTGATCTAACAGGAGATAGAGCTCAGGCAGTGAGGTGAGTGATGGGGAATGGCTGTGAAATACAGATAAAGTGTTGCTTGATTGCCTGCCACTCATCTCCTTCCTGCTGTGCAACCTGGTTTCTAACAGGCCAAAGATTGGCACTGGTCTGAGGCCAAGAATTTGGGCACCTCTGGTTGACTGATTTAGAGTGGAGGATGGTAAGGTGAGGTGAGGTCATATAGAGAGAGGCACAGAGTAGCTATGGCACAAACCTGAAAAGAAATACCAATCAGGACCCTTTAGTTACAGCAGACAGACTTCATTCAAACTAGCCTAAGGAAAATGATGTGGGGTGGGGGAAGTGCACTAAATCATTTAAATAAAGCCATAAATCTAACAGGTGGACCCGAAGGCAGGACTGAGTGTAGGTCAATTAAAGTATAAAGCAAGACTATCTCCTTCTTCTTCTCTAGACTTCACTATGAGTTTCTATCTCTCCATTGAATATTAAGACATCCCCTGGTGGTCCTAAACTCATTTTCATGGGGGAAAATAAATCCTTCCACTAGTACTTTGCATAGCACAGCATAAGCCATATGCTCATCCATCCTAAGCATGGACCACGGGGATGGGGTCCTCATATTGGCCCCATTTGG